ACGACTTATGAAACTTTAACGCCCTTACGAATAAATTACTCGAGTAAGCGCCGGTCGCTCCAGCCTTCCGGACGCGTGATTGGCCCATTTGCATTTCAAGCGGGCCGAATTAATAAAAAAACATTTTGCCTAACTTCTTCGCTGCGAAACCGAAGTTGCTGCCCACTTCTGTCGTGCCCTCCTCCCTTGTCTGCGACGGATTGAGACGTTTCTGGGCTGAAAGGGCCGAGTCACGAGAAACCGGGTGACAAAGAGAGGGACGGGGGGTTTGAGGATACTAGAGAGGTTGGAGGTAGAGATGTTTATTTGCAATCGATTATCCGGAGCCACCGGGAGGAAAGAATGCGGACAGTCGAGGAGAATTCTCGCGTCGACGCCGAAAGGGGACGAAATTTTGCAAAGTGAGACGGATCGATCCAGAAGCACGTCAGCCGTCATCGCGACATATGTATCCGCGTATCAAAGCAGCGCCACGGACGAATTCCCAGAGCAACCGTTCAGGAAGAAAAATATTTAGTGACAGCCCCCTGCAGTATCCGATGGGGTGGCACCCGTTATTAGGGCTCTTATTAACCCAGCATATGGACTAGAAGGGCGACTTCTGATAACGATCGCGTCTGAGTCTCTCTCTCTCCTTCTCTCTCTCTCTCTCTCTGTTACTCGATGTCGGTGATCGCGCTCGAAGATATCGCGGTTTGCAGTAACAGGTCCTATTTCAAGGGATTACAAGCAACCCCGCCGCCTTATCGGCGAGCTACTGTTTGCCGATCTATCATAATGCAAATGCTCTTCTCTGTGTTCCACGGGAGAGTTATTCGAAAGATATACATATCTCTTAGGCTTCGATACGTGTAACCTTACACTTTGATGGTTTTAAATATTTCCGACGGTCACGATAAAATCGACGTGTACCGTAGAGAATAGGGTAAGTCGGGGAGAGACGGTCCACTCTTTTAAGAAGTACTGTTAATATAAATATCATTGAATCCCGACGGAAAGAGATACATTTCTGGAAGCAAATACGTATACGGAGAATAGTTCAGCACCGCTAAAAGCAGTTGGAGCTTAAACAATTTTGACAATATAAACAAGATCGAGCGATCTCACCCGGAATTGTCTTACCGTGAACGAACATTCTCCTCCGTTGCTGGAAAAATTAATCCACCGCCGGGGAAACGAATAAGAAGAGTCGTTAACGCGTTAGTTCACCTGATTTGGAGGGCTTAACGAGCCCGTTGACACTCGGACGGGGAGTGTCCCGCGTCGTGGTCGCCGGGGAATTGCCAGTTCAATAATTCAGAGGCTGGCCGTAATGGAACTTGTCCGCGGGACTCGATCTATCATAGGAAATTGCACGGAGCCCTTTTACCGGCGCTCATAAGAAACATACATATTAGAAGAATAACAGCGGCTCGCTCGCTCGTGAGCCCGTCTCCGACGTTCCGTTCCTAGAATTGATTAGAGACCGGAAATAAATCCCGCATGCGTGTGTGCGCGCATCGGTGGCCGCTCGAAAAAGTATCGCGGCGTTCTCGGAGGCAAGACAGCTTTCGTAAGAAGCAAAAATATCGTTGAATTATGTAGAGCGACGGGAGGAAAATTACGAGACGCCGGACGCGGTCGTCGTCGATGGGAGCTGTCCGAGTTCCTCGGAGAACGCGAGAGGATTTATCCGAATTCGAGTAGCCTGAAAACGCTTCGAGCACGGCGGAGCATCGATTATGCAAAATAATAGGGGCACAAATTCGGTCCGATAACAGATTTTTCGGGTAAGGTACCTCGGAGAGCGATGGCCCAATTTTTTTTAAAGAACCGTCACACGAAATATATTTATAGAAGCAAATAGGTATAAGAGGAATAGTTAAATTAATCTCTGTGTAAGTTTCAATGTAACTACAAAAAATAATTCGTACAGGTATTTTCAAATTTAAACAAGACCAGGTCATCTCATCCGAAATTACTCGATCTAACCAGCATTCGAATAATCGTATTTCCACTGTAGTTCAAACCCGTTTCTAACGCCGAAACTCATCGAGCCTAAGCAACGGAGGAAATCACGGTTGACCGTCTTCTAACGCTGATCAGCAGAGTACGGGAACGAGCAGAAAATAATCCCCCATTCCGTTTGCGCGAATTTTTCCGGTGGATCCTTCCATGGCGCGTTCCTTCCACCCGTACGTCCGAAACGGTGACTCGGTTCCGCGGGTCCTGGAACGAGCGAGCGAGCGAGCGAGCGTACGAGCGAGCCGTCCTCTCGACAGCGAGAAACGCTCGACGTCAAAAGCAAAGCTCAGAGGCAATCATGAGCTTTCGAATGCAAAACAGCAGCTTTCGCGTAGCAGCACTCGGCACTTTTACATTTAAATGTAAACTCGCTGAGTGCGCGCCGCAGAGCCGCCCCCCTCGCCCATATCCACCGCTCCTCCCCATCTAGCGACGGACCCCATCTCAGCCCTCTTCACACCTCGCCCCTATCCGCGCCGCGCACCGTTTCCATTCCGCCGCCTCCACCTCTTTCCGAGGACGTAGGCGATATGGCGGAGGCGCCTGGATTTAATATTTTACACCTCAAATGTTGGGCGCCCGCGCGCTCGCGAGCCAGAAATGCAAAACAGCTCGTCGAGTATCCCTCGTTCTGCCACCCCGCTACTCTTTCCCTCGCTCCGTCTCGCTTCTTCTTCTTCTTCTTCTTCCCTCCCTCTCTACGGCATAACGATTCCCTCCCCGTTTCGGCTTGGATTGGATTTAAAACGCGTTAATTTGTCGAGCACGACACGACCCACGCTCTCACACCCCCGTTCCGCCCTACGCCGCTGCTCGCGCTCTCTCAGTCTCGCGTGTCTTCGGCCGTCCGTGTGACCGTACACCCACTTCTGTAGTCGAAACTGCAAAGTAGTCGAAGAGCTCTGTGCCGCAAGGGTGTACAGCCGTGTGGGCACGGTGGGCCACATCTAAATTTAAAATCTGCTTTGCATAATGCCCGACCTCGTCGGTGCTCGTCGACCCCGGGACACCGCCTAATTGCGGCCTCGTTCGAGCCCCGTGTCCCTTCGACACCTACGGCAGCCATTCTCGAAAAACCGGCTCCTTCCGCCCACCCCTCGCACCACGCTTCCGCCACTTTGAATCGACCGACTAGATAACCGGCTACCGTTCCGCTGATCCACCCCCGCTACGAGTGATCGATCCTGGCCGGTTACTCGAACCGCGGCGTGTATTATTATCTGGACGCGGGACTCTGTAGATCAGTGAACAACCGGCTGTTTATCTATCGCTCGTTAAACAGCTGAAGAATGATGATTTCAATTGCAATATTTGCTGCGCGTAAATTATAATTATTTTATTAGTATACAAATCTGTTGACACTTCAAGTCGGAGCCTATGCAATCGAAGCTAATAGAGGAATACAAAGCGTGTTGCCTTCATCACAGTCGTTACGATTATCGCAATTAAAATATTGGATTGATTGCAAATTAACTTAATTATCGGAAAGTTATTATAGTTAAGTATTTAAATATTAAGTTGTTAACCCTGCCGGGCTCGTGAATCTACTTGTACATTGGCAATTTCATGAAAATAGTGGCTTCGGAATGGAATATTAGGTATTGAATTTTAGTCCAGTATAAAACAAAAGTTGTTCGTTACCGATCTAGATCGATGTCTTTTAAACAGCATTCTCATTCAGGCCTAGATTCGAATCGCTCAGCCTCCGCAGATTGTCTGTACTCTATTCGATGGATTAGCAGCCCACGAAGGTGAGAGTCGTATATCGAAGCCACATATCTCTCGGTCGATTGCCGACAATTACCGATTATCAATTACGCCGGGCACGATAACGAGGCAACGCTCGATTGCTTCGCGCAGTCGACGCACACACACACAGGCACGCACGAGCGCGCTACCGCGTGGAACGCTCGCCGGAAGTCGATCGAAAGGAGCCGCGTTTCCACTCGTTCCTTTTTTCTCCTGAGGATAACGATACGCCTAATCTAGCAACGGCGATACCAATTTGACATGAAATATCGCGTAGCAGCCCGTAACGACGCCGGAGTGAAACTCGGCTGCCGATCCTGTCTCGCGTGCATCGATCATGCGGTTTTCAAATTGATTTCAATGGTGCCGGATCGAAGTTGAAACCCGCGCGCCGCGGGAAAAGAAGTTTACAAGGCCGGACGCTGAAATTCGACGCACGTGCAGCCGATGTTTTCGTCCCTCGGCCTCTAATACACCGATCGCCGGCCATTGTCCGGGGAACTTTGTCACGGTGGTCGCTGGGTCGATCGGTGCGCAGCGTGTTTAATGTAGTATTAAACGCAGCTATTGTGCCCGATCGGCTGTCTAGTTCACGAATCTACTTTCTCGGCTCCCACTGTCCATCCGTCTCTCCTTGGAGAAACGGGGGAAAAAAGCGGGAGCACGTGCCACACCCCCGTTCGCGACGGAGAAATTTGAAAGTAATGCGATTTCTCCTGCTTGTATTCGTCCCTCGGCTGAGAATGGTCATTGGCCTGCCAACGGCGGAAAGGCGGGAAAAATTGTTCTCTTTCTCTGATCCTCTTTATAGTTAATTAATAGAAAATACAAGATCATCGATGTTTATTATTGCTATTATAGTCCAAAACATCTTCCATGTTTATGGGGACTTCAGTTCGACTAGGTTACTTGTAAAGAATCCTTCGTCGACGATACGTTAAAGGGTAGCGAAACGAGGAGACAACCCTTTAATCAACTGTTTTATTCGTTTCGTGTGGCTTCGAAGCTTCGGAAACCAATCGATCCGTGTTTTTCACACGAGAGAGGATGAGGTATTGAACGGGGACGCGGATGGAAGGAATGGGGGATAAACGAATCGAGCGTATTCGGAAGAGTATGCGCCTCTTAGAGTCGTTACTGGCAGTTTCCTGCGATAACTCCGGCATTGTACTCGCAGCCCCCGGACAAGAGGGGAAGTGAATTCACAATGGGCCACAATGACTGAGCCAACATTACGAATTAGGCTCGGTTACGCGTTTATTGCCGATTCCGGTCCAGGGCAGCGGCGCCGCCTGGATTTTCGCGTGGCGTGGGCGAGCGGACGTCCCGTGGGGCACGCGCTCGCGAAAGTACGCCACTGCGGAGACCCGAAGTATTAGCATTGGTTAGCTTTATGGGGCGTTCAGTTCCGCCGTGGCCGTTCGTTCTCTCTCTCTCCCTCTGACGATCCGTTCCTCGCTGTCCCTTTCCGCCGCTTCGGGAAAGAGCGAACGAGACAGATCAATAAAATCTGTCTGTCTGGAAAAGTAATGCCAAATCGACTGTCCGTTTTCAGAGGCGAACAAATAAATGTCACAAAAGGAGTGGAACGGCTGCTACGACGATCCACCGGCTCGAGCCAGGCGATTCGGGCTTCGATTTTCTTCGGGCACTAGGGTAGAGCTTAAGTAGTATAGGCTACTAAATATTTTAGGTACGATAAATATTTGGGGTGCTGGGGTAGGTTCTAAGTAGTCCAGGCTCTAATGAAAAAGTGATTTCTATCCGGTTCGGTTTGTTAAAATTGCGATTGAGGTGACTACTATAAAAATGAACAGATTAAAGAGAGAATGGATTTATTCTTATTCAGTTTACTTTGGTAAAATTTCGATAGAGGTGACTGTTATAAGGATCAACTTATAATCGAATCGTTAGACAAACTCTAAAGGAACCGTAGAATTATCATTTTGTTTCGAGATCCTGGTATCCTAAGGCTGGGCATTGGCAAGCTGAATCTACTTGGACGTTGTTTAGAGGAACGCCCGATACACGTTTCATCGAACAGAGGAGAACACTTCGAGTGGAACAACGATTCTTTAGGAATGACTCTCACGCCGCATCGATCGCGCATTTCGGTAAGGGATGATCGACGAATCCGGCGCGAGAGAATTTCTTTTTTCACGGTTACGTGACTTGCGGCAGACCGGGCGACAAGGGGCGCCGAAATTGGGACGCAATAATTATTAATCAATTTCGTATTAATTGTTTTCTGGGCGTCGTAGCTTAAGTGGGATGTTGTGTTCCGGCTGCTGGCAAGCTTTGCCCTGTAACCAGCCAAAGTGTCATACAAGAAGATTAATTACGCCGCGCGACGTTTTATGTGGGCCATGCGTGCGACTACCCTTCTCCTTAGCCGTCGTATACACGTAAAAGTAGTTTAGCCATCGGGGAAAAATCGTGAATGGTCCCCTTTTCCCTGGGAATTGAAACGGGAATGAAAACGGCTCGCCTCTGAACTTCCGTTTATTCGAGGAGCGATCGATTGATTCGCGTACACGGGGATGATTTAAAAATGTAACAACCTCGAATACAATTTTCGACGAGTCGCGACTCGAATCGAAGGCTTTCCAGTTGCACTATTTCTCTCATTCTCTCTTTCTCTCTCACTCTGTCTCACTTTTTCTCGAGTCCCGTATCTGCCCTCCGCGAAGCTCTTTTTCATGATTGCGTCCGGATGGTTGGAAAAAAAGGGGTACGCGAAAATAAAAGAGACCCGAGGGAATAAGATTTCGCCGGTACTCCGTCCTCAAGCCACGAAAGAGCCAAGTTAGTTTTATTTTACAATCCATCGGCTTCCACGACACGGTGGGGTGAGTTTCCGTCGTCGTCGTCGTCGTCGTCGTCGTCGTCGTCGACTGGTGCTCCAGTCGCAGGACGAGAGAGAGACGGTTCGATGGAGGTTGGAATCCTTCAGGACGGTTGGACGAGCGTCGAGAGGGTGCACCGGCTACGGGGGAGGCGGGGCGGCTGTCAACTAGTGTTTTAAAAGTTTGCGACAGCCTACAAATTGGCTCGCTCAGTTCTTTTTAAAAGCACCGCCAACCAACCACGTCGCGTACCCCCCGTGTCTGTCCTTCATGTTCACAGCCGTATCGTTCAGCGGAGAGCTTACAGGAACTTTTTGCGAGCGTCAAATTTATATACGTAGTCGTGAAATCTGGTTTATCGGCAACATGGCGACGCTTCGCGCTTACGAGTCTGGCGTTTCGCGTGGTACGTTCGGACCAGTCGAACAAGGGATACGCGAGATCGTAGCATTATCAGCTAAGAACATATTCGATGAGGCTAACAGAAAGCCACTGTTGTCTCGACCGTATTTTCGAAAATACGAGACTGCCGTGACAAGACGAGCGTTCCCCGGTATTCCTCGAGAAACGATCGCGGTGGGAACAGCCGAAATAAATCGCGGCCAGGGGTTTTTTCCTATCAGAGCATTGTGCTCTAGATCATTATTCTCGAGAGTTCCGCGAAAAGTTCCGACCATTCTCGGACAAATCGACCTCCATCTAGGAGACGGCGGACCTCCTGTAGGGAATATGCTCGCGCGCGATTCGAATCCCAGAAGTTTAAAAGTATTTCGACGTAAAACGCGGCCATTTCTCATATTTTCTATGCAGCCGCGCTCCGCCGCGGGCGCATTTGATACACTCTATTAGTCGCATCCCCGGCCTGATTTATCGAGTTTGCCCGCGTTATTGTACATTTTCCCCGTAACCGGGGCCGAGATTCATCGTGTTCTGGTGGCCCGGCCCCGGGGTCTCGGCGCACGTTCCATTAGCCGGCTGGTGATCAATGGTTATTACGCGGATTTAAGGTTCGAATCTTTTTCAGGAACAGGGTCCCGTTGCCCGCTGGAGAGCGTACCCGCGACCGAACGCCTGCGTTTGATCAGCCGATCGTTAGCTGAAGCGGGTAGACCGAACGTCGATAGACTATAAATAAATACGCTAATATCGAGGACATCTAAATCACGCGCGCGCGGAAAGTTTGCTTAAGCAATTACGGTCGCGATTCGTTTATTCTCGGCCTTCTCGGCGAAAATAAACCTGCCGACGCGGCCAAGTTTGTCTCCGTAATCACGTGTTCCACTGTTTCACCCTCTACTTGGGCAGAATCGAAGACGGCTGCGGCGAATTGAACATCGCGAAGTTCTGCGAGAGGAACGACGGCGTCTTCGGCTCGCCGTTGTTCATCTGCGTCGGCGACATCGCCTCCCCCATATCGATATCGTTGCAACCCCGCTCCTCGTCGGACCACTCCTTCCTGGCCACCTGCACCACCATCCAGATGTACGCGCTGAACACTGGAACAGAGACGGAAAGAGACGGGGCGATCAGCGTAATCGCCGGTGCCGGCGCGAATCCGCACGTCCGATTGCGAAATCACGGCCGGCGTAGCGCAATCTGGTCGCAATCGCCGGCTGAGACGCGTAGTACGTATGTGTATTCCCGGTAATTCTAATGTACTTACGTAGATAGACGCTGGACACTGGAATGTACCATATTGATTTATCGTAAACATCGTACTGGGGCCCGTGCGTCAGATGAATAGTCAGCGCCACGGACTGATCTATTATGCTAATCATTTGCAAATACATCCAAGGCACGGCGCACTTGGGTCTCCTCTGCAAACGTACACGGAAGTTAGCGAGATCGTTAGCGAGTTTAAGCAACGCTGCCTACGTGCCGAAAATACGTTCCGCGAATAAAGAAGCCTCCGATTCATTCATTCCCGATACACGACGCTCCTCGTTCGCCCCCCCCACCCGCCCCTGTTCCGTTGTTCAACCGGAACGCTTCTCCGTTCGCGGCACGATCCCTCGACGGACGAACGTTTTCGAATACGTTCGTTCCCAGTCGAAAATATTCACTGGACGGACATACTCACGGAGATCGATCCCACTGCGAGATACGCGCTGGCCATTAACGTCGATGCCGTGTACACGAGGAGAAACACCACCGCCGCTTCCGCTACGAATTTTATTTTTCTTAATTAGCATCATAATGACACGGTTCGTAGACCCACAAAGTGGCCGTTCGACACACGAGGCATTATTTCGCAGCTCGCGGAGATTCACCTGAACCGCGCCACGTGTTTCATGCTGTGCACGCCGAGTAGCACCCACCTTTCCTTTCCATCTGCGTGTCCCTCAGTATCCTCATCCAGTTCAAGCCCAGCACCGTCCAGTGTTCCACCGATTCGAAGAAACTGTTGTCCGTCAGCCGCGAGAAATAGTTGCTCATCAGCACGTTCATCACGAGTATCGAGATCGACTGGAATCAAACGGGAAAGGAAAAACAGATCGCACGTGAAACGCCGATTCGTTTGATCAGCGCGGACGATCACGAGCTGGAATCACGAGTTTATCACCTCGTCATCGTTAACGTATTCCCTTTTCAACTGTCTTGCTCCTGTTTCTGCACGGTCGATCGCACGTTTAACGATCTTTGCTCCGCAAACAAAAACCGTTGGAGCAAACCCGATCGTTTACACAAGCAAGCTCGGTACACGCGACACGAAAACGTTAAACCAACATCCACTGAAATATAATTCAAACCACTTGTAAGTCTCTTTTTCTTTTGCAGCCCGTGAATTAAATAATTCCACGATATTTCGCGTAACCGCTGCGGGGTTCCGGCGAACCGGTTTGTCGTTGCAATTATGCGATCCGGCCGTCACTCACCATGGTATAGGTGCCGATGATCCTCGCGGCCAGAGCGTAGCCGACACAGCACAGCTTGCTCATGGTGAATCCCTGGGATGTCCGTTCCGGTGCGAATGGATCGCGGATGAAGAATGCCGGAATGCGAGCGTCCCGTCGATCGGATTGATTTTCGTTGGCGTAAATACCTCTTCGCCGATCCCTCGGGGAAAAAATGTAAACACGCACATCCGCGAGTAAACACGCGGCGATCGAAGTCACACGCTGGATCGAGCGCGCACCGGCTCGCCGATGATCCGGCACAGCGATAAATCTTCGTTCCGGATCGGCGTACGGACGATTGCGCCGATCGAACGTGATCGACGGCGCAGCCAGCCGACGACGCGCGCTTAATATCGTCTCGTTCGATTATCCGCCACGCGATAATCCACCGATAATTATGTAAAGAGGATGCCATAGCCGCGAGAAACGCACACCGGACTCGTCACGCGGCTCCGTTTGTCGCCGAGCGGACTCGAAAATCAATTTTCGTTTATCACGGTTTTCGATCGTTAATTGAACGTTCAAATAACCAGTGGTTTCAATGTTAGCCTCGAAGCCAGCAGCGCGCCACGGGTGCGCGCATGCGCGGCGCCGTTCGGATCAGTTCGGTGCGGCCGCGCGATTGACACATGTGCTTGTTAGGTTAGCCCGCGTGGTTTTTCGAACGTTGTTGTTTTGTCAGTGAATTCGAACGCGGTTGGGAGAAGTGTCGATCCGCGGGGTGAACATTCGACGGACGCACGGTGAACGATGACTGTACAGGAGATGGACATTTCTTTGAACATCTCCGCGGATCCTGCGAGCAAGGTAAGTGAGGGGTTAAGAAATGCTTTGGGATTGTTGATTCAATGAGGTTGTACTTTTTATACAGAGGGTGGGGAGCAATGACGATTATATCCTTAGTTTAATGAAAGGAGAGAAGAATAAGACGGAGAAAGGCAAACGTGTTAGCGAGGGTAAGGTGAAACTGAGTTCTGTGAAAGTTGTGCCTGCTGGTACTAAACAGCGGGTTAAGCAGAAGTCTTTGGCGGCCATTGTTGCTAAAAAATTGGAGGGAAGTGGGTCAGTTAGTCAGTCTTTGAAGGGGAATAAAGTGCAGAAGAAGGTGACATTTAAAGTACCATCCGATGGTGTCAATAAGAAGTTGAAGCAGGAATCGCATCGAGTTGCTTTGAATGTAGAACATAAAGATGTAGAAGTGAAAAAGTCATTGTCAAGTTCAGTTAGCGAAGACAGCAAGGCACCTGTTATATCTTTTACCAAAGTTACGAAAGAAAACTTTGGTAAAACGCTGTTAGCGAGAAAAAGGGTTATTAAAGACACAGATTCCAAGAAGACTCTTTCTAGTATATTTTCCAAAGAAGCAGAACCTCAGAATACTGAAGTTAGTTTGTTGAGTTCGTTGAAAAGATTAGACAGGGATGAAGATATAGTTCCAAAAAAGAAGTCTAAAGTAGAACAGGAAGAGCCTTCATCTGTGACAAAAGAAGTAGGCCGCAATAATAAAAAGAAAAAGAAACTTAAAGAACAGAAAACATCATCGAGTGTCGTAGAAAAAATAGATGTTGGTGTTAAAAAGAAAAAGAGACATATAGAAAAGTCTACTGACAAACCCGACAATGAGGAAAAAGAGGAGAAAAAAGCAAATGTTACTCACAAATCCATTGGAGGGAAGATATCTTCCCTCTTCGGTCATAATCCAGAAATACCGAACATTGGCCAAAGATTTGTGAAGCCTATAAATGAACCAGTCTTTACAGGAACAACTTTTAAGGATCTAAACATTCATCCTTTCATGATTTCAAACTTAGAGCAAAATATGGGAATCACAGAAATGACAATAGTGCAGCAGAAAGCAATTCCTCGGATACTTTCTGGCAAAGATATTTTAATTAGGTCTCAGACAGGATCTGGGAAGACTCTAGCGTATGCTTTACCTATAGTTGAATTCCTACACAAAATCAGGCCCAAGTTAAACAGGAATAGTGGTTTAAAAGCTCTGATCGTTGTGCCAACTAGAGAATTGGCTTTGCAAACATACGAATGTTTCTTGAAATTAATAAAAGTAAGTGTTTTGCATTTAGTGTATAGGAGATAATAGATAATATGTACATATTTCAATCAATTTACCATACAATTTTAGTCATTCACATGGATTGTCCCAGGATACTTAGCAGGGGGTGAAAAGAGGAAAGCAGAGAAAGCTAGGTTGAGGAAGGGGTGTAACATCTTAGTAGGTACACCCGGTAGATTATTAGACCACATTAACAGAACCACAGCTTTGAAGCTGGGGGACGTGAAATATTTCGTTTTGGACGAGGCGGATAGAATGTTCGACATGGGCTACGAGAAAGATATATCAGGGTACGTTTCCTTCGCGATAAGGCTATCACCAATATGCCAACCACTGTATAACTCAACATCACAATTTCAGAATAGTAAGTGCTTTAAAAATCTCCACCCCAAGCGAGAATACAGACTACGATGCAATGAACATACTCCGACAAAACGTGAAGAAAGTTTTCACGGAAGACGAGATCGAGCACATGGAAGATGACACGAGGCAACAAACGCAAATGGAGGATCAAAAAGATTCCGAATCCGATAACGAGACTGATAAAGACGTTAAACAGCAACCAGCGTACCATTCAAGCAGTGACAACGATTCCGATGAGGAAGAACCTTTCGTCAAGTCGAAAAAATCAGACAAACGAAAGTCTCCGTTGAAGTCCTCGGAAAAGAATGATCCCAAGGTCTCGACCGACGATACTCGACAGAAGGAATACCAGAATGACAACAGTGATCCATCCAGGAGACAAACGATCCTGCTTTCCGCGACGTTGACGCAGTCCGTGGAAAAGTTAGCTGGCCTCGCGATGGAGAATCCCCTATTCGTCGACGCTGCGAAGGAGAACCTAGAGAGAACCGGGGACGAGACAAGCGACCTGAACGAGGACTTGGTGGTCCCGCAGAGCGTGGCGCAGACGTACGTGGTCACGCCGGCGAAACTGAGGATGGTGACCTTAAGCGCATACGTCGCCGGCAAGTGTCAGGTAGTCCCTATGTCCGCGGCATTGCAGTCCGTTAGCCCCATGCCCGAATCGGAAAGTTTCATAAACGATGCGCCCGTGTGATCGACAGAGCCACGGACAACACAAGATATTAATATTCATGGCCACTCAGGATATGGTTGATTATCATACGGAAATTCTGTCTTCCGTGCTGACCAAACCGGTCGACGACGAGGACGAGGACTCCGATCCGTTGGTCGACGTGGAGTTCTTCAGATTGCACGGTAACATGACGCAAAAGGAGCGGACGGACGTGTTCAAAACGTTCAGGCTGGCTAGGAGCGGCGTTCTCCTGTGCACGGTAAGTTTTCCGCGTACGAAATCCGCGGACCTTTTTCAATTGTTGTTGCGCGTACCGGTGAAAGAGGATCGTGTAACGCCACATGAAAGCGATGACACTGTTCTGCCAGAGTCGGGAATTAGTATGGGGAGGAGGGGGGGCCGACGAGGAGCGGTGGAGGGCAGCGGAGAGGAGAGACGGCGAGAGAGGAAGAAAGAACAGAAGAAAAGCCAGGGATACCCGACGGCACTCCCTGAGCAGTAAATTACCCCGTGGCTTATTCTTTCAGGGCGGAATTTAATATCCCTGGACCCACGCTGTGTCCGGAGGTTAAAAATTATGCGCGCGCATGAGGCCTTCGTAACGAGTATAATTATGATTGCTCGCCCGTTATGCGCCGGCCCCTTCTTTAATTGTTTTCTACTTTTCAAATAGCGAATGCTTAACAATAACGATACCGCTACTAACAGAGAAATCCCGCCGAGTAACGCCTCTGGCCGCGACATTATAATCCCCGCGGTATTTCCTAATTTCGGTGTACGTTCGCATGAAAGCAAAGGCAATTATCGCGAGAACTGTTCTCTTTTCGTTCGGTGATTACCCATATTTCGCGCGTATCGCACTTCGAAGAGCCGCTCTCTCGCTAAACTCACCGATCTGTCGTGACAACGCGACAACAGCTTAACCATTGTGATTACCGGTGAACGCGATCGATCTCGGTGCCGCGTAAAAAGCCTGGAAGGATCCAGTGATAGTAATAATTGTATTCATTATTATTAACATTGTCGCTCGCTTCCTGGCCGGTTAACGCGAGCTTGGCATGCTACCTTCGTTGAAAAAAGAATGCTCGATGCCTCCACGGGGCTGGGACGAAAATTCATAATCAGCGACACGCAACGAGTGTGACACATTCCACGTAGGAAGGATTAATTCGTTTTAATCAGGCGATCGGCGTCGTCGATCCGACACGTGTTTCACGGTGGCTCGCCACGGGTTTTCCTGCTCCTACACGGGCCTCCTTTAATTGCTAACCAGTTCTTTGAATGGATCAAGGGATACGTAAATATTCCGGGGCTTAACATGCTGACTGCCACGAGAATGTATCGCTTATTCTTTCGTGGCGAAGATAAATACAGGCGGTTATTAATTATTTGGTATTACATATCTTCTGTCACAGTGTTATCAAGTTACACTACATTTTCATTCGGTATTAATTATTCTACTACTATACTTCTTTTCAAGTAATTTCGAAACGTTAGTCATGGGTGATTACTGCGACATTCAACATGGTAATCCTCCAGCGTTTATAAATCTACATATACATCTAACATGTTATTTAAAAAAACACATAATTTATTAGCAAATTTCTTTACACTCCAATTTAAATTATCTTGAACAAAATGAGAACGCAATTAACTCGAGAAACGCAAGGCGGACGAGATGGTGCTTGAAAAAGTGAGAAAACGTTTGACGTTCCAATTTACACGTGTCTCTAACTTGAAAACGTTTCGAATTCTTCGCGAGTGTGAATTCCTTTGGATCGAATTTCAGTCGAATGTTTCACGGATGTTGATTCCTTTCTTTGCACCCGGTGAAATTTCGGTGCTCGACGATCGAGGTCCTGCACAAGGATCCGTCGGTCCCTGTGCATGAGCAACGATGGCAGCCGCCCACATTTTACGGCGTCACTTGCACGGAGATTCTATGGCAGCGTTATTAATTTCCACGTTGAAAACTCCACGAGAGCCCCCGCGGATGGAATGTTCCGCGGCTCTCAGCGGTGGTGGATCCGGATCCACGGGGTGATCTATGGTCCGAGTGAGATGTTTTGAGCGGACGATCCGTTCTCGATCCTACGGGCCACGATCGCGGCCTCTCTCCCCTAAACGATCGTTTGTCTTAATCGCTGCCATCGATCGCTCCTCGTCCCTGTTTTCGTTACATTATATCGCGCCGGTGGCAACTGCGCTGCTTGTTCCATGCGGAGGACACGTAGGCGTACGCCCGCCGGTTTCGCTTTATCGAAGCTGAATCTTTTTTCGTTAAATCCCCGATCGAGCCTGCTCGTTTCCTGCCCGATCAATTATCGTCGTCTCGAGTAGTTTCTGAAAGCATTTCGTCCAAGTTACCACTTGGAAGCACACCGTTCATCCTACATTCAAGCTCGGTATCGTAAAATCAAACGATGTATTCATTGGACACCGCGTATATTGAACTGTCCGAACAGTTGACACTTTCAGAGTAGTATCTTCCAAAATTTATTCAAGTGGGATCCTTTTGTAATCAGGAAATGCCCGAGCTTCCATCTGCTGTAACTTTGTAACGGAAGGCCTTGCAACATTCTGCCTGGGTTCATTATAAAACGCGAAGCTTCTATTTTCATCTCTCGCAGGCCATTTTTTCCAATGATAATTCTACTTTGTGCATCAAATGGCACAGTAAACGTACCTGTTCATTTCCAAAATGTTGCCGCTCGGGGGTCAAAGTGTTAAAGGAAGGAATGCATCAGCGGCTTGTCGATATTTATTTCTACCCGGCGGATCCGTCTCGTACTCCTTCAGACCGGCGCCTGGTCCTAGCCGCGTCTAAGACGTCGGCGTCGAATTAATTCAATAAAAAGAAACGTAAAACGCGGGACGCGTCCGTATCGTGCCGCGAAAGAATTTTCGGGGCCACGACGCCGCCCCCCCACTGGTGGTCCGGGATTAGTCTCCAGGGCCGTCAAGCGGAGCCTCGGATGCGCGCTCGGTTCGGTAAATCATTGGTTAACCGAACGAACGCAAGGAAATCAGGGCCGTGCTCAAACGTTCGCCGTTGGGGTCCCGCAGCGGGCGCCCGCTGCCAGCCGCGCGCATTCACCTTTGTACAAAACGAGAAATCGACGCGGTTTGTAAGACATTTGTACCGGTGGAGATCGGGCTGCGTTGCTCTCCGCGCTCTCCTCTGGCTCCTGAGACCTCGGCGAGCATTGCCGGAACGTAAGACAGCGCGCAGCGCTGGAGACAGCAGTTATGGATGAAATCATCTCCATTCGCCCGATGATCGAACCTGTTTAATCCATTCGCGTCATATTTAAATACAATGAAGAAGTTACGTCGAACGTATACACTCTGATAGATGCACACGAGTCACATCCGTATGCTAATGAACCACATTCGAGTCGTTCCACAGGTGAAGCTGGCTAATTCTGCTTCTCGAACGATCTCAAATTCTAGCGTTGAAACACTTGGTAGGTTCTCCGTTTAGGAAGTTCCATACGATTTTCCTAATTTTCATTCTGTGGAGTTAGTTAATCAAACGAACAGCTCAGTCATGCAACTGCATTTGTGTAGAATAGGCAGAATTGCGAGCTGAGTTCGTCGAGTGTCTGGTTTCATGGCTTCTTTCATAAGTTCAAGCGAGTAGCGATCATCGTATGACACGAATGGGTTAAACCCAAGTGAACGCGCGACGCGGACCGTTTCTCTTCCCTCAGGACGTCGCAGCTCGTGGACTGGACCTGCCGAAAGTGGACTGCGTGATACAGTACACCGGGCCAACCTCTGCGAGGGATTACGTTCATCGAATCGGTCGAACCGCGCGAGCCGGTTCCTCCGGATCGGCGACGATCTTCCTGACGCCGGCCGAGATCGAGTTCGTTCGAATGCTCGAGTCCAGACGTATTAGAATCAAGCAGGAGAGCATGGACGACATCCTCGATAAGCTGTTGACTCCCTTGTGCAAGCACACTTCCGCTCACGGCGCAGCAATCGCGTTGCAGAACGAGTTCGAGAATTTGGTGCTGGAGGAGTCGAAACTTCGCGGGAAAGCGGTGAAAGGTGAGTGGATTTTATTTGACGAATGTATTATATCGTCCGAAAAGTTCCTTTCCTTTTATTTATACACAATGGATTCTTGAGATCTTATGTTTTGCGCCACGTTATTCAATCGTGTACGATCTTTTCTGATCTGTTACCTTCTCCCATCTTTCTGGACCAACTTTTGCTAAACTAAACGTCCACGAAAGGAACCCGCGAGACATTCTAATAGATGATATGCAGCGAGATTGAGTCACTGCTCGAACTAACAACGAGAATCGGCCGACGAACGTAGCGGTTTAATAGAAAGCCGGATCAGCTTTACGGTTTTCCGGTTAACGCGATTCCGAACGGTAGCTCCCCGGCGAAACACAAAGTACTCATGAAATTTAGCGAAGGATGAGGGAGCGGCGACCGTTCCGATTCAGTTGGATCGGAACGAAAGCGAGCTGACTTCAGGGTAGACTAAGCCAATTCCAGCGGGCACCCTACTCGCATATAAAGTAACCCCCATACGCTCGCGTTAGAGAGCCTTCACTCTCTGTCTCTCGGTTTTCCTCCCCGATATTTACATACTCCATGGACGAGGAAGGATGATCTTGTTTGCGATGGGCGCATGGTCGCCCTATTAGGGTCGTTAGGGCGCAGAATTTATTTGCTGCAATAATAAATCCATTAGGACACGACGATTCGTGTCTCGTTCGCTCAAGGGTGCCGCGCGATAGTCACCCTTACCGTAATCGTTCCGCTACTTCGTCGAACAAGTGACTTTTCGAGGGCTCTCCGAGGCGCGGACGAGCGATCGACGACGGCCTCTCGACCCGTGATCCATTCCGAAACGTAAAATAAAGATCATAAATCTTTCTTAGAGGTTTCCGAGTTTCGCAGGTTGTCTCGCGTCAGGGGTGGCTTTACACGAAGGTTAGCCACGGTTTTTGAGCGCTTAGCCGCTCCAGATTTGAGTGACGGTACACAGTTAACCACTTGACCGTTCCTCTACGTGCCCCGGGTGATTGATAGATTAATTGTCGCCCGGCGATCCAGCGCTGCACTTTCCCAACCCGTGGCGGAACGATATTAACGGGGAAACAGGGAACGGGGGAAAGAACGATGGATAAGATATTCGTCGGATCGATCGGCGATCCTTTTTCCGATTCGTCGTTGAGAATAGAAAGTATCGAAACAAAGAAGCTTCAGCCGGAAAGGTTTGATAGCGAAAGAATTATCGGGCAGCAGATGACCGCATCCTACGCTCGTTCCAACCCCTAGAAATTTATTTAATTCCTGACCGATGCGAGGGCTGGGCAGCGTGCGTGTGAGTGGAAATCTCGCTAATTCGTAACATTATCACCCCAATAGATCCGAACAGCCCTCAATAGAGAATACAACTCCATAGAACAACCCCCTGGTCTTCGACCCCTACCACTGACCTAAGAGATCCAGCCACTCCACTCGTACGTGTTCGTCTTTTATACAGTTCTCTGTTATATCCTCTTTAGTGTAACTCCTCGAACGTTTTCAATTATTATAATGATCAACCTCTACCGAATAATACTGAAGATCCTGAATCTTTAGGTATTCTGTCATTGCTTTTCCTTTTTCGTATCTATACATTGAAACTCTAAACCAATCGGATCATGTTTGATATATAAATTCATCGTTTTCGAAGGAATTTGTTTACGATTTATCAAGGAATCATAAAGTTTATTTGGTAATGGATTGTTTGTGCAATGAAGATTCGTCGAGAGGAAATAGCAGGAACGTACGCCCGGCGAGTTAGATCGAACCGACTGTAGACCGGTTGTACGCCTTTCGCAGAGGGGGTGGCCGACACAATCCAACCACTGAATGTGGCTTCCGCCAAAACCACTTACGCTTTGTGGCGAGAGACTCTTAACAATGCGATACAGGATACAAATACAATAAGACGCAGTTACATCACTTAGGAACAATGCCGCCCCACGCGGCCCACTGCTCCACCTACCCCTCGCCACCGCATCGCTCTGCCTTCCCGGCTAGATACCACCCCCGCCGCTGATTTATGTGCTAAATGGAGAAAAACATTTCTCCCTTTTCAACGCGCCCGACACCGAGCCGCGGGAGAAAGATTCTCCCGAAGTTTCTTCTGCGCTGAAGAGACGGGTCCGGGATGGCAGGCAGACGGAAATCAAGCCGGAAAATGTCAGGGCATAAGGTCCGCCACGTGAATTATCGAAATTAAGGGCGTTTAAGTTTCCCTGTAGGAAAGTGCTCGCTGCGAAAAACCATTTTGTCATCTGTTACACGTCAATCTTTTTTGCTTCTTCTATTGAATCCCAGATAATATCATATCTCTAATAAACGTATTTAGTAATTGTCTAATTGACCTCACCAGTGGCTGAAAAGGGTAATTTCTGCTGTATTAACTGGTTCTCAGATTAGTAGTATATCCATAATCGTAGCTTTCAAAGTCGGACGCAAAGTGAGAAGGGTGAGTTTGATTGAAGCAGCTTCATCCGTCAAAAGAGCGAACCGAGAAGTGCTTTACGCCGGATTTTTCACACGGAATGACAGTAACACTAGCACATGTCAAATTCTCTCAGGATCGGTGAACCCCCGAGGTTCTCACCCGCGCTCGCGCGCGTTACCTACAGAAGTCGGGGGTACAAGGGGGAGACTATTAGCCACAGCACTTGACTCGACCCCCGTTAATGCCTCTTAATAGCCCGCCGCGGGGGCACACACCCCATAGAATCGCGGTACGCTAACCCCCGTGGAACTTAATGGAAGCTCGATTAATAAGGGCGCGCTACACGCGCGCGGCCAATGATTACAGCCGTGTTACGGTGCACGTGGCCTCATTTACACATCGACGGGGCTGGTACGGCCTAGCAGAAATACGCGATAAATTCATGGTACTTATCACAGTAACGCCGCGTTAATCGCGAGATCGCGCGATAAAAAAAGGTTGTTCAGAGGATTTACCCCTGCGACGAATCCTCGATGTTCTATTACACGAATTTATTACGGCTTGCCACTTCATTATTTTCGAATGATTTCCAGCGTACATCTCCTGGATCCGATTTTACTCGAGCTACCCTCGAGATATGCGAGAGGTCTTCGACCGGAAGAAGCTTCACCTCGGCCACTTCGCGAAGAGTTTCGCGTTGAGGGAGACCCCGCAACGGATCGGTGGAATTGGGAAGAAGCTACGCGAGAAAGACAACAGTTCCAATCAGCAGCAGCACAACAATAAACTGGCGAACCAGAGGTAAGTACTCCGTCCTCTTTCTTCTCGCCTTTAAAGGATCAACATCTTTACCAACAACAGTAGATTATCTTCAATATATTATATAAGATTTGAAAATTTGTACACGTCATCGAAAGTTTCTTCGCCGATCTCCTAAAGATTAATCGATTCAAGCTTCAGTCTCGGTCCGATCCCCTAAAGCCTAACCATAATCACCATCCTAGCCCAAGAGCGATCGTCTCGGTTAGAGGATCGTCAAAGACGAATCGTAGTCGAATACCCGCGGCATTAATGACGGATTCATGCGTGGCTTGGCTTGTTAACCGCGATGCGCCCCGATTTCTCCCTGCACAGCGCGTTTCCCTCCCTTTCACGGTAACTGGCGGACGCAACCACGTGTGCCAGAGCGCGGAGAGAGCGCACGCACACCGGCCGAGCCGCGGAGGACAGGCCCGGTGGCTCCTAGAGAGGTTGGATACGTCAAAACTGTCGCTTTGTGTCATTCGTCATGTACGACGAACGGGCGGACGTGGTGTGTACGGTGGTTGGCAGCCATAAGCCATACGGCTCTCGTCGTGCTCATCCTCGTTTGTTCGCCGTCTCCCTCGCGTTCCCCTCCCGGGCGGCGTCCTCTTCTCCGTCTGGCCGACACGTCACTGGTCTCTTCGTTGCCTGCGCGGCTCCGTCTCCGTCTATCTCACGGCCGGGTATGCATTTCACATGGCATTCGGCTGGCTTCTGCCCTTCTCCAGGCTTCTCCTGTTCTCTCTCCGACACTCGACTCTCCGCCTCTCGCTCTATCTCGCCATTGTTCATAATTATACAATACGGCTATTAAACAGACTGATGCGACCGCTACTTCCGGCCCTGGCTGCGCCATTTACGGAAACCACGGGACGAGCACGAGCCTCCTCCCTTCATTCTCTGACCGACCCTCTCTCTCGCTCTCTATTCCTCTCCTCTCTTATCTGCCTCCCTCTTTGTCGAAATCTCTCGCCGCTGCACCGTCACCGCACCGATTTTCTCTTCGCCACCTTTTTCCGCTCGCGTGTTTGTCATCCGCGTTCGCTTTCCCGCTGGGAACTCCTCGCTTGCCTTTTCCAGCGTTTGTTTACTCGGTTGGCCAGCAACTGCTACCCTTCTAACACCCGGCGACCTTTGCGTCCGATTAGCGCGCTTGCTGTATGATCCCTTTTCTCTCAACCGCTCGTGAAGTACACGTCTGTCTTCTTGTACTTTGTTCCGCCTACACGCCAACAATGATCAACCAGTTCTCTACCCAGCAACGTGCACCATCAATTATTCGAAGCAGCCGATTCATTAGATTCCCGGCGTCTAATGAACGCGCGACACCGAACGAAAGGCTGATTCGACGTTTCGGTCGGCCCGCCGCACGCGCGCGCGCTCGCACAGGTCTTTCCCCGCGGGCCGGCATTAAGCATTAACTTGTTTAATGCGATTTGAATGGGCGTGCGCTTTCGGCGCACAGAACGGGTAACCGACGGGTGCCCTCCGCCCGTAGAGAGAGAACAAGTCCGTTTTAATGGGTGAAAGGCGGGCACCGAGCTGACGGTCCAATGGATCGAGAGACCCGTGGTGTACGCCTCTGTGGGTGCGATTACGCCTGTCCCTGTGTGCGTCTGCAGCCTGCGTAAGTGAGAATGTGTCTGTGTGTTGGCGTTCCTCTTGCTCGACCGTGTCATCCTTGTGTGCCTGTGAACACCTTCGAGCCTTATCCCCTCCAGCAACACAGCGAAGCTTCGATTCCGGACCCCGAGACTTCGATGAACCTTCCTTACTAGTGCCGAGCAACCTTTGTCTTATCGGACAGAATTGAAAATTTAATATACTGTGTGGACCAAAATCGAAAATTTGATATTCTCTATAACAAGAATGGATCGACGGAATATTAGAAAAATAAGAGGATTCAATTTACTAATATCTATCGATGAACCCGATACAAGGATAATGCAAGAACAGAAGTCCGTACATCGTCATTTCTGAACATCAGTTAGCCTCAGGTTGCCCAGCACTGCCTGCAATCCCCAGAAGATCCTCCATCCAAATTTCCACGGATTCCGACGGAATATAGTTTCCGTCGCAGCGAATACGAACCGAATAATACGGATCGACGAAGAAAAAGTTCGGGACGAGTGAATTCGACACGGCAGTTGCACGAATTCGCGAGGGAAGACAGGGCCCGGTAACGCCGCGTCGCCGGGGTTATCAAAGCGAGTCCCGGCTTTTTGCCGATTTTCGATTACCGCGCTCTGTCCTCGCCACATGTCGTTTACGTTGAATTACCGAAAATTGCGGGTTAGCCCTAACGCGACGATTAAGCCGGCGGCCCGTGCGATTTTCAGGCCCGACGGGGTGCCCCGGAGGAAGCAGCAGCAGCAGGGGCCGCGCGACCATGCGAGGACGGGGTCGCTGAGGAACGTCAGGATGCTCAACACCTCGGAGTACGGAAGCGGCCTCGAGCCGGCCGTGAAGAAGCCAAAGAAATCGTGAGCGTCGCATTATCACCTCGACTGGCTGGTAAACAGAATGCGATTTCGTTTGCCGTGATTCCCACCTCTCGTGTAAATACTCACCCTCCTTTTAACCGTACGGTTAACCGGGCGAAATCAGGTTACCGGACTTTCCGCGAATCCCCGGACTGTTCGTTTTGTCCCCGTTACACGCGGCTTGCGTAACCGCTACTGCCGCGAGCGATCCTATCTTGTACAGAATTGTTGTTGTCGCCGGTGTTTCGGCGCGCCCGCGTGTCACGTCGAGAAATAAATTTTTGGTAAAGGAAATTGGATCACGGCACGCAACGAGATGAAATGTTCTTGCAGTGGATGTGGAATACGAACGTAGAACGCAGTCGAACCTCCGGAATTCGGATACGGAAGCACAACTTCTACAAATGTAGAAATTTCTACATTTTTACAACTTCTGCATGTAGGACGAAATTTTATTACCGTTGTTGCCGCGCGTTTGTAATTTATAGACACAACGTATCCCGCAGCATCACTCTCTCTCTGATCATCTTACGAATCCTCTACGAATCCTACCGATCTAACCATCTTCATCCGAAAACCGATTAAGACAAAACCTCTACAACCCGAAGATCCCTCGCCTTGCCCGCGATTCGACTTATTAAGGTTCAACTCTGTAAGGATACCATGAGGATGCCACAGGAATTTCATATAGTCGCACTGCGAAAACAGTGTAAATTGCGGCTGGCCGGTCCGCGTGCACGGATACGCGGGTTTTTTGGTCGTAAATACGGCCGAGGACGGGGCGTAAGTATGTCGGCGGCGCACGGACGAGGAACAGATTGGTGGGGAGAGGCAGGAGCGAAGCAGCGGAGAAGGAAGAGGGATAAAGGGCGGAGGGATATGATTAATACGGCGGCATTATTTTCAGATTTTTTGCAGCGGGGATCCGCGAGCGCAAATTGCTTGCAAATAAAGGCGGCGTCGGAGCTGCTATCGTCGCTGGTAGGACAACGACGAGTAGGAAGGCAGTGGGGAAACCAGCGGAGAGGGGGGGGAGAGGGCCGAGAGAGCTCAGCCGGGCTTAATTTAATTTAATTATGCCTTCTTTCTTCGCTACCACCGCGCCGGAAGATAGATGGCGAGCACGGAATCGGCTGAATCGCCTGCCGCGGCCGCCATTAGCCGGAATTACGGATTTCCGTGATAGATTTCGGCTTTCCATTGATCGGCCGGGCGCCCTGATCGATCGTTTAACACCGGAAACCGAACATTTCTAATGGTCCTCGAGCCGTCTATCCCCGTTCGACGGATCGAAGACGAATCGCGTTTCTTCGATGTTCTCCGGCGTCGATCGCGATCAACGACACGCATGATTCAATTGAATCCGACATACGGTTGAACAACGACGGAAGATCGAGCAGGTGCTCGCGATCCGTTCCATCCAGCCGAACGGACGTCGAAAGCGTTCCGCTGTCCCGTTTTCCCGATTCGACTCGAAGTCGAGTGAGTTTCGTGCCCAGCCGCGCGACAGATTTTTTTCACGCCGGCGAGAAAGGTAAGCGTCGCATGACACGGAATATTTAATTAAACGGGACGTCTGTCCGTTTTCGAAACCCACCCAAGCGGTAATCATCGCGGGCGCATTAGACGGGACACGGAGCGGCAAAGAGTGCGATATTTATTCGTAATGCGCATCGCGATTCGTCGTGGCTTAGCATCAGTCATAGTCATCGCGAGCGTGTGCGCCCGTAATGAACCGTACGATTAGTATATATCCCGTTCGTCGAATGGATCTCGCGTGGACGGGCGAGCGTATTCCTGGATAACTTCGACGGGACGGGAGGAAAACCGGGAAAAAAGAAGAGAGAAAGAGAGAGAGAGAGGGGGGAGAACGGAAACGGTGTAATTCTCATTACGGAGGGATACGCCGCGCGCAGCTTGACTCCGATTAACACGACGGAATCGCCGGGAAAAAAGCTGCGGCAGCAGAAAAAGGGCCGGCCTGTCCCCTTTTCACGTAGAAAAATGCGTGTCCGCGACTAACACGCGCCGCTGAACGAAAGAAACGTAAGCGGATATAAAAGCGTCCGATTATTCCGGCCGATTACCGATTTCCGGCCGGTTAACGATTTCTCGAATCGATTACGCCGGGCCGACGATCGAACTCGAATTTCGAATTGGACGCGGATCGAGGCACTCGCGGACTCGCGCGCGGCGCAAACGTGGCGCCCGATTCACGGTACTTTCGAAAATGTTGGCGGGCGCTGGGTGTACACGCACAACGCGGTGCTCCGGTTACGCAGGGTCTCGAGTAACACGGTCGAAAATTGCAACAACCGGATTATTAATTGCGTAATGCGGCACTTCAATTGCACGGTTTCTTTCGTGGATCTGGAGTAGGTATATCTAAGAGCACGGTTTCGATAACAAGACAAAATCGTTACGTTAGTGCGACTTCGGGCCGCGAGTCTCGTGTAACGCGGAACAAATTAAACCTTTGCGGTAAGTGAACTACTAGTTAAGAAGTTTATCAGTTTCTACTATAATCGTGATGTAATTGCATTACGTGCAACTACGACGCTGGTGCTCCTCAAATTTCTGCAAATAAATTATTAAAGCGTTATATTCAATCGGCACTCGCATGAACGACGGCGTAACTTCCAAACCGAGAAACCAAGAATTTCTCCGACTCGAATTCGTTAACACTAGACTTACAGAATAAAGTTAAACGAATTGGGAGATAAGCTTTTCTGAATGAAAACAGAAGCTAAAGGAAACGTCAAAATTGAAGAACCGAGTAATCGGACAATATAGGAACCGATGTAAAGTCGAAGGACTGAAATGAAACGCGGAACTTTCAATCAAATTTCGAAATCGGTTATTTGACCGGTCGTGCAGTATTAATCGCGTTGTTCGTGGGTTGACCGTTCGAATCGACTGGTTGACTATTCCTCAGCTGTTCCTCGAACGAGAGACGCGCCCGTCCTGCGATTTCACCCTCGGAATTAAGGATAATTTATCGCGGGAACGATCGTCGACGTTCGACACGGTTCCGGCGATATCTCCCCGCGGCCGTGCGCCACTTTTTTCCTCGTAACGAGCGCGATCTTATCGGCCCCGATCTCTCGATCGGCGGGCGAGGAGAATAATACAGTGTCACATTATTCGCGGAACCGAGAAATCGTATTCGAGTGAAAATCAGGGCCGAGCGTACGAGTTTGAACGGGCCAACGTGTAATTGGGAAATAATACGCGTGTCCGGTGCATCGTCGAGCAACGATCGTCGCTCTGATTATTCCGATAACGATGCAATTAAATCTCTCTGTTGCGTTCGACGCGCGATTTATGCCGTCGGGGCGACGTCTCGCGCCGTTCTCTTTTTACTCCCGACATGACCGAGCGAATCGCGTTCGGTTCCGGAGCCGGGGCGAAGGGAGCGAGTCGTTTCCGCAGTGGAATCTGCTTGAAAATAACGTCGGAGTGGGTGGCGATTAGTATTCCACGCTGAAACTACCGAGCAATCGTATTGGTTAACGTTGAATGTACCGATACTTCGTGTTCATTTATTCATACAGTATCTAATTAAGTAGTTATAAAATGAAGAACAAATTGGAGACAAATTGGAGAAAAATATCGATCGGAGAATATAGGAATTGATGTGAAGTTAAATTAATGGAAACGCAGGATTTGAAATCAACTTTTAAACTCGCACACTTGACCGGTTAAGATACGTTAACTTCGTTTTCCTATGGAAACTGTGAAAATGAAATTATTGAGATTGCTGCTGATTTATATATTAATTTGTGCGTTACTGTATTGATTCGTTTAACATTTTCTCAGAGGAATGGCTGTATGTATACAGCTTCCACTGATTACGAAAAATACGTCAGTAATTTCGGCTGGTATTCTTTGGAGAAGCATTTCGTGTGCCAGGCTGTCGTGTGAAGGAGCCATAGCCTCGACGGTTGCGCGTTCCACCTGCAATCGACGCGCTTCCCTCGTCATTTTCGCCGGCGCGATATGGATATTTCGTCGCGTTGAAAATCCGCGTTAAAAAGAGCGACGATAGGGGATCGCGCGGCACAATCGGGTATTCGGACATCGGTTGCGAAAACAACGGCCTGTTCGCGTTAAACGAGTTGTTTAAATCACGCGGGATCTAGATAATGGTGACTGGTTCTAATTTGTTGTAACGTAATTTTGCGTTTCACGGGGCGGTGCGTGCGCGCGAGCGATAGGAATTGGTTCATCGTTCGCGTGTCGTCGTTAGTAAACGAAAGATGAACGGATAGTACGAAAAAGAGGGGCGCGAGGGGGGGAGAAGGAAGACGGAGCGCGAGTAAAATGGGAAACAAAATCGTGGCCGGCGAGAAATTGCGAAAAATGCATCGCGCCGCGACGGTTGCACCGTTTCGAACATCGTTATGCTCGATTCATGGTAGATTTGCCGGTCGATAGGATTTCTCGTGCATTACCGCATTAGTGCACTCCATCGCGATAAGTAACAAGCTGTAAACTGCTTTCCCCGATGTGATGCAGGACTGCGCGATTTTGTTGCTCGGTACAAACGATAATAGCGGCCCCGCGCGTATATAGCGGCGGTTACTTAACGTTCATTATAATTAACACGCTCGATGCCTTAACTTTCCCAGGAGGAAAGCGAGAATAATGTGCGTTTGTAATCGCCGCCGACGCGTACGCGTTTAATTTTTATCATTTCCTCGAGCCCGCTAATGACCAGGGAATTTATAAAATTCAACGCACCGTGTAAGCTAACTTTAATCGATTCCCCCCACCTCCCCCTCCCCCTATCCGTCCGTCTGCCTTTAACCCCTGCCATTTACCCGCACCAGGATTCCGTTAGCTTTTAATTGAAATAATTACACGATCGAGACCGCGAGATAACGCCCGCTACTCGTTCCAAATTATAAAGGGCGCCTCGGGCCTGATCAAAAGGAGTCAGAAGGATACAAAAACAGGCCCCGATGATTTAATCGTACAATGTATTTGGTGGAGATCTCGGATTCAACGCCGAGCTCGGATTTATTTTATTCAATGGGAATTCGTTAACCTTCCGTCAGTCGATATACACCAGACTTCCGTGTAACGCGGTTAATAACGCGCGTCGTATGAAATCGCGTTATGCGAGGGTAATTCTCGCATTAACTGTACGATATTAACGAAACGTTTAAGGGGCGACATCGTCTAGAGACGTTCTCAATAAAGGTAAACTTTAGAAACTCTTTTGTTGATAACCATTAACCAATATATTACAAAATGGCGCAGTTATTCGCTGCCTTCGGAACAGCTTTTCGT